AAATTTAAATGGATTTGTGAAGCCGTTAATTGTTGCTTTTAGTGATAGTGTTAACTTTTTAACTTTTTTGGTACATGTATGACTTTTTGACTAATTTTTACTTTTTGAACTCTTGTCAAACGAGCTTCAAATATCGTATTTTCGTCCAAAACTACGGATGTGTAACGTCAAATCAAATAGTGAAAAGAAGAAAAAACAGTGTCGTGTCTGTGGCGCCCTGTTTTCGATAATGATCAAATTTCGGCCTCCTCTCAGAACAAATTTTTTTAATGAATTTTTAATTTTTTAAATTAAATAATAATATAAAAACAAACACCAATGTCAAATCCACGACACTATAGAAGTTTACACACACATCATATATTTTTCACATCTCTCATATCAGAGAACCTCACAATCTCTACTGATTATTCCAAAAACTTGTATGTTTAGGATGACTTTTTGGCTAATTACGAAAAGATGTGCAAAAAATAGAAAGAAAAGAGAATCTTTGACTTTTTGGTATGAATTATTGACTTTTTGACTAATTTAATAACTTTTTGACTAAAATAACCTCTTGTCAAACGAGCCCTAAATATCGTATTTTCGGTCCAACAACTACGGATGTAACGTCAAATCAAATAGTGAAAAGAAGAAAAAACAGTGTCGTGTCTGTGGGCCCTGTTTTCGGATAATGATCAAATTTCGGCCTCCTCTCAGAACAAATTTTTTTAATGATTTTTTAATTTTTTAATTAAAATATAATATAAAAAAATTAGTAGGTTTAAAATAATTTTTTAATTTTTTTAAAAAATATGTACAAAAAATAAAGAGAAAAAAAAACTTTAACTTTTTAGTATAAATTATTGACTTTTTAATTTTTTAAATAATTTTTTCACTTTTGAACTAAAAAAGATTACATCCAAACGAGGCCTTAACTGAGGAAAGGACCTATTATTGGAGCACAAATGCACTTTACCCATCCGCTACACAGGGAGTAGCGTGTCGATTAAAGCATAAGCCGATGAATCGAAACAAAAAGAAAAATGACTCAGACTCTCAGCTGGAGATGTTGCGGGTCGGCTTCTATTGGACAAAAAATACCCCAGAATCGACCCGATAAAATTTTTTTTTTAATTTTCGACCAACCCCAATACGACACGTCACTGGAATCGTCAGTAGAGTCACCCCACCGGGGTTTGTAGCATTTCCCAAACAAAAAATACCCCAGAATCGACCCGACAAAATTTGGTGGGAGGAGATACGTAATCCAATTGGCCACTTTTTTATGACCGCTTTTTGGACCACTGGGCCCCTCACTTTGGACCACTTTTTCTGTGAATAAAATTTCAAACTAAAATCAATAAAATTTTGAAAAATGAGTTGGACCCGGGTGCTGGGTCAACTCTGATTGGCTGATCGTCAGTAGAGTCACCCCACCGGGGTTTGTAGCATTTCCCAAACAAAAAATACCCCAGAATCGACCCGACAAAATTTGGTGGGAGGAGATACGTAATCCAATTGGCCACTTTTTAATGACCGCTTTTTGGACCACTGGGCCCCTCACTTTGGACCACTTTTTCTGTGAATAAAATTTCAAACTAAAATCAATAAAATTTTATCTTAACCCAACCATGTCAAAAGAAAAATTAAGGTTATATATTATCAATTAAAAGAATATATATTAACAAAATTTGAATTTATAAATTTAATAATTAATTTTGCAGCTCAACATTTAGACAAATAAATTTTTATTAAAAATTTTACCGAAAATAATTTAAAATATAAAAATTGTCGCTGCTAGATGACAAATGTTTTAGGGCCGGCCCAGTCTTCAACAACCCCCCACCCCCCTATCGGTCGGTTTTCAATGACTATTTTGTTTTTTAATTATTCACTTATTAATCAATCAAAATCCATCATATAAAACCAAATAATCGAAGTGAATCAAATCGATTTCTATAATTCGATCTTGATCCGGTTAATCAATTCCAGTTTTAATTTTTGTAAAACCGTGAGAAACGATTGATTTATTCTAAAATTGGACTCATCCGATTCCTCACACGCTCACAAATTTTAATCTGTTTGTGGACCCATTTAAAAGAAGTGTCATCTACCCACCTAATGTGGAAGATCACTTACCAGACACAGGTCTTGTGCGGCAGCGACGGTGGTGATTGGGGGTTGGTCTCCACGAACTTGTTCACAATCGGAGAATGAAGTTGAGGCTGATGAGTCATGGTGGACGATGGCTGAAGAAGAAGTATCTGAAGATTGCCCATTTGTATTTGGTGGGTCTAGACTTAGAGAAGATGAAAATTCCCCCAACTCTGCTACACATTCATCATGGTTCAGTTGGGTGGCTAGTTCATCAGCACCATGATCTGGGTTACAAGAAGCTATGGAGATCGACAATATTGAAGAGATTATCATAAGGATCCTTAGCAAATTCATCGGTTCGATTTTTAGTGAGAGAGAATTGTTATGTGGTACGGTTTTGTTTTTGTTGTTTGAAAGCGCAAATAGAGCCCCAAGACTATGGCAATTTAAAGTCCAATCAGGATAAGGTTAAAGAACTTGTTTTATGCTTGTTTGAGGCTTGGTTTGGGAAGTGGGTTGGTTTTTTGGCTTTTTTAACTATTTTAGTTTGGGTTAAAAAGTTTGGTTTGGGAAGGATTTTTTGGCTTTTTAACTTTTTTGACTTTTTTTGTGAGAGAAGAGTGTAATGATTATGGGTTGGATGTGATGTTTTGTTTTTTGTGACTAAAATAGCCTATTTTGTCTTTTGTGGCTAAAATAGGCAAAAAAGCCCCCAACCCAACTTGCCAAACGGAGCCTCAGAATTACATCAAATCGTTTTATTATTTATTTAACTTTTTTTGGCACATTTTTTGAATTTTTTTTAAAAAAAAATCAATTTTTAATTTAATTTTCAAAATAGGCCAAAGTTTGAATAAAGTCTATGGTCCTCAAATTTACCCACAATGGAGACATGTGGTTGAGATTGAATTTGTGTAATGTGAGATTCATATATAAAAAAAATCTGAATTATTAGATGATAATTTTAAATAATTTCTGAATAGTTAAATCTGAGTTTACAGTATTACGGTTAAAGTTTTAGTTTAAATTTTAGGAAAATTTATCCATAAGTCTTAGTTTCTGAAAAGTTGAACCATTTAATCCTAAAAGTTTTCTTATGCTCCATTTAGGCCTAGTTTGGGAAGACTAAATAAGTGCACTTTTTGACTTTTTATGAAATATGAGTTGGGTTTGAGTTGAGTTTGAAATGATGTGTTAGAGAGGTGATGTGACTTAAATAAGATGATGTGACTTAAATAGGATAGTGGCTTTTTGACTTTTTATCTTTTTTCAATTATGCCAAACTTGGCCTTAGTCCCATTTGCACAGCAATCTAATGTTTGAAACATTAATCTGATGTTCGAAATCTAATGTTCGAAACATTAATCTGATATTCGAAATCTAATGTTCGAAACATTAATCTGATGTTTGAAACATTGTAATGGGACCTTTCAGTCTATAAGAAAACTTTTAGGACTAAACAGTATATAAGTTATTAATTTGGGATTTATGGGTGCATCCCCCTAAATTTTAATGTTTTAATTTATTTTTAATTTAAATCATTTATCTATTTTTGTTAGATAAAATTGATAAAAAAAAATATTTTAATCATAAAATTCAATGCAAGTACACATCAAAATGTCTAAAATACTTTTTTTTTATATTAAATTTATTAACTAAAATATTCATTTTTTTCGATTTTACTTAATAGAAATAGACAAATAATTTAGATTGAAAATAAATTAAAATTTTAGAATTTAAATTGATAAAATAAAAAATTCATAATTTATTTGTTATGAGAGTCCAACATTAGGTTTCTTAATTGTAATTTCCATTTAATTTAAAAATCACAATTATGGGTGTAGAACTAAAATAAAATAAAATAAAACAAAACAAAAACCTAAATGCTGGAATACATTTTGTATAATTGATTTTTGGATAATTACAAAAAGAAAATTTAGAGTTGGATCTCTATAACAAAGTAAATCTTATACCAAAATAAATTTTTAATTTTAATTTTGTTAATTTGAACTCTATTTTTTTATTATGTATTTTCAATCTAAATCATTTGTCTTTTTTTGTTACTTAAAACTGATAGGAAAAATATATTTTAATCATTAAATGCAATGTAGATAGATATACATAAAATGTTTAAAATATTATTTTTTATTGAATTTAATTACTAAAATATAGTTTTTCATTGTTTTTGCCTAGCGAAAATAAACAAATAATTTAAATTGAAATTTAATCAAAATATTAAAATTTAAATTAATAAAATTAATATTTTATTTTATTATAACAATCAAAAGATATATTTTTTATATTATAATTTATCTTTCTTATTTTTTTTATTTTATTTATTCCACTACTGAACTATACTTCTTTCAAAAATTACAATGTGCACCAAGCGTGTTCTTCGAGGAAGGTCGTATATTACTTAGGCCTTAAGGTATTTTGTTTGGTTTTCTTTGGAACGTTCTTCAAAAGTTGTGTTTCCACTATGGGTTTAGAGATTATTTGTGGTAATTTAAATAGGAATATTTTTTAATTTTTTATAAAATAATTATAAAAAAATAAAAAGATAATATGATCCAAAGTGTATTTATCAATAAATACACTTATTTAGAAAATATCAAACAAACTCTTATATAAGAATTTGCAGAAGAAAATAAAAATGGATGAAGAAGTTGAAATTTTTGTCTCATTTGTCTTCTCTTTTTGTTTTTCTTTACAAATCATTACTTAAATTTTTTATTCAAACAAAATTTAAATTCATGAATCTACATCTAATATATATATTTTTGACATTTTATGAAAAAATATGTAATGTGATAAAAAGATAATATGCCATAAATAAAAGATAATACGACTCAAATAAAAGATAACATGATTCAACTAACATAAAAATAAAAATAAAAAAAATATTCTAAAATAACACATGTCAAATAACTTATGAATGAGACATAAAAATAAATAGGGTTTTTTTGTAATAAGTCCTTCAATTTCAAACTTTATTATCAAAAGGGCAAGCTAAAAATATTTAATTCATTAAGGACAAAGTTCAAAATATCTAAAAAATATGATAATAATATCTTCAACTTCTATCATTTTCTTACATTACCACAACCACCACCGACCATCGTCTGTTATCACCGATCACTGTCGACCACCCAGTCAGCAACAATTTTCTGGTGACCATTGTCGGTCGGCAAAATTTTTTTGGCAAGATTCTCCAGTGACAGTAAAATTTTACTCTATTAGATAGTAAAATTTTACTCTGTTAATTTGGATAGTAAAAGTTTTCTGTTTACTTTAAACATATAAGTGGTGAATTTTTGCCATTGTCATCAGTAACCACCACACTTACTATAATTATTACCATTATTCATATAGATATTAAATGAGAAATTAGTCAGAACATTGAATTAATAACATTAACAGTAAAATTTTACTCTTACACAAAGTAAAATTTTACTATTTTGTTATTGAACATACCAAAATAACATTTTTTGTTTGAGATCTCAAAATCAATATTCAAACTCATAATGAGAAAAAAAAATGCACTAAAATAAAAATATATACATATAGAGAGAAAAAGAAAAAGATAGTGAAATAGAGAGATGAAGAGAGCATATATATTGTCTCAGATCTGGTTCAAACTAGAGTAAAGTTTTACTTTCTAAAACACAGAGTATCATGAGGAGACAAAGAGAAAGAGGGAGAGAAAATATAGATCTGAGATGATAGATCTCAAATTTGAGGTCTTGGAAGGGAATGATGACGATGGTGGTTGTCAGTGGTATAGTGGCATCAAATGGCGTCGGTAGTTAAGATAGTAGTGGTGGAAATGATGGTAACAATGGCGGTGGTGGTGACGAACGGCACCGATGGTTGAGATTAAGGCTGTGTAAAATATCACCCAATCCGCTAAAATCACACTACTCTATCCGCTAACCGCGGCTTAAACTTTAAAATTTATAAACCGTCTTCGAAACCGCTCCGCTACGCTATAGTTAATGTATATATATATTTAACCTATAATTGTCACGACCCAAACCCGCCCATATGGGTTTAGCACTGTAATCGGCCAGTAATCCGTGATTACCGAAGGCCTACTTAACAGTAATAATAGCAATACAGAGTATAGGGGCTGGCGGAAGCCAAAACAGTAAATGAAAGATGTCCAATGAGCTATGACATTCTGTATGCAAAAAGACTTTTCATAACATGTTCACATTTAGAACAGAAACAGTATATACATACATCATTTACAGGCATTCAGGTTAGGGACCAAATCCCTACCATAATAGCACAGTACCAGTCTATACAGTATATACAAAACAAAAGCAGAAAGGGAGAATCTAAAATACCCCTAAGCAGCCTTGGCTTGAACAGATCTGGAACCTCGCAGTGAGGCACAAAAGTTGGCTTGACAAAAACAAGAGCTTAGCCTAACGCTCCTAGCAGCGGTCCGGTGCTTGTACACCTACATATATATATGAGCAGTGAGCTAAAGCCCAGTGAATAACATATGCATAAAGAGGTTAAGAATGAATGACCTTTCAATATTGAAAACAGTCAGTTATCAGTATATCAGTTATTCAGTTTGTGGCTCATATTTCATGCCATAACAGTCATTCAGAAAACTATAATAGTCATATGTGGTACATCTAATAGCAAACAGTACAGTAGGTCTTAACAGACCGAACAGTCAGTTGATGGCTCTCATATCAGTAAACAGTAGTTGTTCCAAACATGGAAACCAACAGAGATCTCTGTGACAGTAGCAGTACAACACAGTAACAGTAAATTACTATGGATGCCACGAATACAGTTCACAAATAGGACAAGCATTCATTCAGTAAACAGTGTTATTTCATAAAGCAGTTTAGTCATTCGTTTAGAAAATTAATCTCAATTGAACGTATCTTTACAACATTGTTACTCACAGAGCTCTGGGCTATAAGCAGCTAGAGCGTCCTCGGATGCCAACCCTACACAGTTACAGAACGAACACACACTAAGCTACACAATTGGGAAATAATAACTTAATCTGTAATTTGCCTCGGTGTGGTTCTACATCAATATCCTCATTAAGATGCCTTAAACTAGGCCTGGGAATGCCTAGGATGAAATGAGGATGCAAAGATGTACTTCAAAACTTCAATATAAGAGCATACATGCATGATCTAGCTCTCAATTCAACATTGTAAACCAATTCTTGACTTAACTCACTAAATTACCATGAACCATGCAAGAACTAACTTGAATTCACAAACAAGAAGGTAAATGTCCTACCTTAGGTCTTCAATTCCAAGTCTAGAAGCTTAATTAAGCAATCCTCTCTTCAATTCTTTCAAGTTCAAGCAAGAATTCCTAGTTGAAACCAATTTTCTCCTAACTCTCTCTCTCTCCCTCTCTCCAGTCGGTTTTGTCTCTAGAGGAAATGGGTGGGATGGTGTTTGTAATGCAAAGGTAAGT